AAATGTAGTTATAAATTTGTTTATTTTCTGAAGTAGGAAGTGAACAGTATTTTTTCCACGTCCTATAAACTGAACTCAAAGTTTTCAGCTATTCCATTTGAAAATGGAAGATTAATTCCAATATCATTAAAATTTACATTTTACTGTAGAAACTTCTCTTCAAATGTATTGTTATGAAATATATTTTTTCCTGTTTTTCATACCAGAGATTTTCTTTTAAATACTTTGAGTCTTTTCTGTAAAATGTGGAAAGTATTAATGTACCTCAAAGCTAATCTTAAAAATTTTTGAGGGCACAGTGTGATACAGAAATTACACAATGAGATCAGACAGCTTGTTAATGATGAAGTGAAATACACTGTTCCAAATTACCTTAGTCTGAAGTCAGCGTGTATTTATAATAAATCTTGACTGTTTTGCAAGTCCAGTCTCTTCTGTCTTGGCCTTCCTGTATGGTTTAAAACACTGTATAAATTATCAATATTTATTATTTTAACCCCGCATGTGAAAATTGAGTAAGCACAATTCAGTAGAAAGTTTGAGTTGTTTGTTGATATTTTTTAAGCAACCTTTTTCTTCTGTGGAAATATCAAAGCTTTGTGTGCTGTGCAGTGATTCATTTTAGCAGCTGCAGAACACCAAGACAAATAACTTTTGTCGTGTACTGTAAGATATACAAGTCATTGTTCTGCATTGTTAGTTCTTACTTTGAAGTTCTCGTTTATTGTTTACATCCTTCTCCCCCTTCCTCTCTTCCTCCCTCCCTCCCCCATATATTCATAGGCCTGGAAAAAAAAAAAAACAACCAAAAAACCAAACCTGGCAAGCAACAAGTTCTGTTTTGTCAAATAGCCAAAACCCCCAATCTGATGGAAATTAAAGCTCTGAGATGTCTCCCCTGGCCTGAGGGTGAGCCGTGGAATGAAGACAAGTGGGCAGGAGTTCAGTGGTTCATATTGCTAACCCACCTATTGATTTGCTTTTAAATCAGGTATTTCAATATTTCGACAAATTTCTGTGAATGGGGACAAGGTGAATGTTTGTCCTCAGTCACAAAAAAAGCAGAGATCACTTTTCCCCCCCCACTGGAAATTTATGACAGTTGCAAATTAGACTCAGTTTAAGCCTGCCAGTTATTAACTATTCCTAGCACCTGGGTTGTGCTGTGGAATCAGTGATATGCCAAAACCCCATTTTCAGGTAACAATGTGCTGCTTTTGGTGGTGTTTTGTTTTTTTAAATGAGGAAGAAAGTGTGACTAGGCACATAAAAGCAGCTACCACCCTTCATGGCTTTAAATAACAGGGACAGCACAGATGTTTGACATCAGTATTGTTTACATGGCCTTAGGGTTTAATTGCCTCATTCTCTTTGAGAGGAGGATAAACAATGACAGAAATCCAAAGGAATGATGTTCAGCCAACAGCAATGGCTGCGTTTCATACATAGTTGCAAACTTCCCAACTATAGCTAAATATCTACACTTTTTTTTTTCCTTGTCTGAATGGTAATATGCCATAAATTTCATATTCTCTGTTGCCTCTTAACTGGTGATAAAAGATAGTAAAACCAACGAGCACGAGCGCCGTAGGTTGCGTTTAACCAAGTGAATGACTTAGAAAAGTCGCTTTTGTCTGGTTTCTCTAAAACTTGTGAAGGCCTTTGGTACTGCTGTAGGTTATTTTGTTTCTTAATACATATTTAATAAATAAAGTCAAGCTGAAGTGCAGCCCATGCAGTTACCTAGAGCTGTTCCACAGGAAATTGGGACAAGCTGAAATTTGACATTTGGGATCTGCAGACAGGCTCCACCTCGGTTTGGTGTGGCTTTAATTTGAAAGATATTCCTTGATTGAAATTAGTATTTAATGATGTGCTTCAGCTTTCAAATGGAAGGGAGGCGTTTCACTCCCAGCTGGGGAGAGCTGAGTCCTTTTGCTTCCATCCCAGCCTTCATGAGATCACTGCATAAAATGTGTTTACATGACTCAATTTTTTATTGACGTATGCGGTGAGATTGGGAGTCTGCCTCAGAGAGAGGGTAGGTCAAAAAGCAGATTTGGAAATGAAACCATTCTTCCAGGCTTTGCCATAGGATGCTGTGGTGTTGTCCTCATGTTTTCTGGCTTCTCCAGTGGTTTTCCGCTCAAGAAATTGAGTGTAGGATTTTTAAACCAATATATCATTGTTTTTACAGCAAATGCTCAAATTAACGCTTCCAGTTGTTGTGATGAAGTTACATGTGGGATTGGAACTATGGACCATTACAAAATTCAAATGCTGTTGCAGATTTTAATTTATTTTTTTTACCAGTTACTCAGTACAAATACAGCTTTTCTCTCAACACTAGCTGTAAACTTCATGTGCACATCAACTATTGAATTTCAGACACTTTAATATGAGACTTCTCTCATTTCTTTATACATATAGGTAAAATTAGGAAATTTGTGGAGGAAGCAGGTGGGGTAGAAGAGTGCCTGGGGTGCTGAAACTTCATCAAGTTCATAGAAGTTGAGGACCTTGAGTACTTTTCAAGGTGTCCCCTTTTCAGCCCTCACCTGATGAGGAGTTGGTCTTTGTGATTTTTCACCTGTTTTTATTATTTTATTTCTAATATTCAGAGGAGTTTTCTACTTCGTTATTACAGCAGTTGCATTCATTAAGGGCTGATTTCTGTACCTTGGACACATTTTTGCCAGTTGTTTGGTTGCAATTAACTCTCCTTTTTGGAAAGCATTCCCAAAACTGTGACATTTTAAGAGATGGCTGTTCTGGTGGAAGTGGAATGAATTAATGAGCTAAAATAGATAGGAACTGGTGCAAGTGCAAGGGTGGTGCTAAGGGGAAGATTCATGAGAAGTGGGAACAAGCTTCAAGTACAGGGTTGTAAGCCTGGGGGAAAATGTCCTGTGACTGAGAACAACTTGAAAATATAGATGTCCATCTTTAATGCAAGTGAAATTCTCCATTTTGATTTATTTTTATATTATTTGTGTACAGAACAATAAAACCTAGACCAGCTCACAGATGATACAAACCACCGACGATTCATTTCCGTCAGCCAAGACATTCTGACATTATTAATGTGTTTTAAATGTAATTTGTGTGGATTTAGTAGCTGTGTGAGGGCAGTAGCTGTACCTCAGTCATTCATGAGCTTTTAATGGAATTCGAGTAGATTGGAGTCTCTTTCATGTTTAGTTTCTGGTATTTGTGTTTTTACAAGGCCTTCATATTTATTTATGGCATGTTCACAAGCTGTCTATCTGGAAGTGGATTACTGTGCTCTTTTTATTAAATCAACACTTATTCATCACCTGGTACTAAGATTTTCTTCTCTAATGTCACTTTGTTGCAGTGATATATGCATATATTTCTTTTCATATATACATATGCATAGATTTCATGAATAGAAGATGCATTTTTATCATGGTGCTTATTTTGGGATGATAAAAGAGTTGGCTGACAGCTGAGAATATGATTTATTTTCTTTGGATTAATTGTCAACCTTTTTTTTTCCTCCTCCATTAATTTGCATAAGACTGTGTGCAAACAGTTGGGAGATGGATTGCTTTATCTGTGGTGTAATAAATGGTTGTTGGGTATCAGCTGATGAGTTCAGAAAATGAAACAATTTTCTGCTCTTCCTTCTCTTTTCACTTCTTGAGGAGCTTTCTGTGTTTCCTGCACAGCGTTTTTGCGTTGAGTTGGATTTTTGTACCTCACGTTTTCAAGTCACGATAACGTTGTGATGTTTTCAGCTTCCAACAAACCTGAAAGACAAATGAGTCATATGAAAAAAAGAATAATTTGTACTGTGTGTAGTGTTGGTCTGTGTGAGATAAAGAATCATGCTTGATTGGCAAATTTGATTAGTCAAGGGCATGGAGAATAAAGGCAGAATGAATAACGCTGTCAATTCCTTTGGGGTTTGTGAGTTGGGATATTACAAGTCAGGTTCTGAGCTGAGCTAAATAAAAATGTGAGAGCTGGAAGTGGCTGGGTGGTGACGGGAGTGCAGTGCCCAGCCTCAGGGTGGGGGCACCTCAGCACCTTTTAGAACACCAGAAAGTCAAACACAAAGTTTCTGTTGGCCAAAGACCGCTTAGAGTCACCTCCTGGAGGGGTTTGGTCCTCCCTTTCTGAAGTGAGGGGGACCAGAGTCTGTCTTCAAAAAGCCTTTCAGTCCACTTTGCTTTCTGAACAGTGACTGTTAATAGATGCAGGAGTGGAACAGCCTGAGTCTGAACTCAAGGTGTCACTTTTGGTTTCTAGAAAATCCTGAGAAACATGAAATTCCTCTCATAGCTGTCCTGAAGACAGCCTTTAAAGGCGTACTGAAAACATGCAAGAGATTCAAAAATACTTGAAAGATGAGAACTTAGACTCTTAAGTAAGAATTGGCAATGTATTTTTGTGTTGGAGGGGTTCAAGTACAGCTTTGAACAAACAAGGCAGAACAGGAAATGTATTTCTGTGATCCCATCCTTAATCCCATCATAAGTCACCTTTAAAAGGAAATGTGTTTATAATGTGAACCCCATGAATAATAGAAAACAAACAAAAACAAACCTGCATCTGGGCTAAAGGACATTCTTTGTGTAAATGTAACACCTGCCTGAAGAAATGAAAATGAGTTTACCAAACTTGGTATATTAACAGAAATATGAAAGTTTTATTCCTAATTGTTTATTTAAATTGAGGACAATAGCTTGTTCTGGGCAGTAGCAATTGTGTTTATTGCCAACTAAAACATCCTACAAATCCATTTTTCTGAAGAAATGTTGTAGGATGACATATTTTGTAACAATTGTATCAAATTATGAAAATATCGAGAAACTGAATATAGATTTTTTCATAAGATTTCTTTGTTGGTGACTTCCCATTGCCTTCTGGAAGACATAAATAAATAACTAAAAAGTTATTTACTGACTGAAAAGGTCATTGGTATAATTTATTCTTTATTTAAATTATGCATCTATTCTGTTTTGCTTTTAAAGCTGGAAATGAAAATGAAAATAGCAGAAGGTAAATTTCACGAAGAAAAACTGAAATTACAACAGAAGCACGATGTTGATGTTCAAAAGGTAAGAAGTGTTTGTATTGTTTTCCAAAAGCAGTGTATTAAACAACAATAGAGACTATGATTATCATAAATATTTATCAGTTGTTCTTTAACTTCTTCACAATTGCAATTAATGTTCAGTGGAAGTCAAATTGTAGGTAACAGTTGGCATAAAGTGAGAGGAATGCAGAATATTTTATGGTAACATATACTTAGGAAGGGGAAAACACTTGCAGAAAGGAGATGAAAATACAAGGCAGTTTGTTTGTTAGAACAAGACAACCTATTTTACCAGCATAACAACTTGTGTGGGAAATCATAAACTCAGGATTTTTCTGTTCGAGAGAAAACATTTGTGTTAGAGAAGAATGTGAACAAAATTAATTTTTCATGGACAAAATGCAAAATATTACAGTAGGAAAAGCCAGGGATATATCATATATGTTCAGGCTCATCCAGCAGCAGTGCTTGCTGTCCTGTCTCTGTTTTGACACCCTCAGAGCAGAGGCAGAGGCCAAACACCCCTTTATTTATGTTGCTGCATTTTTAGATTTTCTGCACTCTGAATTCTTGCAGCACTAACACGGCACCAGCTCTCTGGGTTACACTGGATTTGTCTTTACTGAGTCACATAACACCGCTCCTGGCAGGATTATACCCACCCAGACCATGCTGTTATTTTAATCCCAGGTTTAAAGGTGGGGTGAAGCCCTGTGAGGTGCCAGGTGCTCCTGGCAGGGCTCTGATCCCAGGGATGGAGCAGGAATCCCAATCCTGGCCGTGCTGATCCGCTGTAAGCTCGGCATCACTCAGTGCCTCTGCTTTGTTTCCTAAAGACTGAGTCACAGCCTTGGAGGAAGTTGGTTGACACAGCTCTGTGACACATCAAAGCCTCCCTGAGAGGATGTTAATATTTGGTCAGGTGCACATTTGGCTCATCTGTTCTCAAGGCCTCAGAGCAGAAGCAGTGAGCAAAGCTGGGAGTCTAAAGGAAACAGCTTTGTGAGAATAAGAAATAGTTTAAATGCTTTCTCATCCCTTGAGTTGTCATCCCTTCCTAACTGATGTTAAAATTCCGTCTTTTGAAGTCATTTAATAATGCTGGATATTTTAGAAAAGGTTAAATAGTGTCGTATTAATCTTTAAAGACAAAAAACATTTATTGCAGATGGAGTAATATTGTTTTAAGATGAAAGCTTCTGTTTGATAAGAGATTTGGAGCACTGTTATAAAATTTCTCCGACTTTAATCTTTATCTTAAACACGAAGTTTAAATTAAAATACTATCTCAAAGTGTGCAAATATTCGAGCTTTTTTATTTCCAAACTCAGCCTGTACAGAAATGTGGGTGTAGTTACCCTCACAGACTTGCTCTGTTCCAGACCATTGTTCCTTGGGATCTATGTGAGTAATTTCAATTGGTGAAGCACAAAAGGCTGCAATGAAGCTCACCAACTTATTAAAATATTTCTTCAATCTGCTGAGAATTTGAGATACTTTTAAATACTATTAGGCAACATAAGTATGAAAATCTTTTCAATTTGCAGCAGTAGCACAACAGCAATGCTGGGTTTGCCCAGGTTTAAAAGAGAGCAAAAAAACCTCACCTTGAAACATGAAACTCCTTTTTTAATCTGCTTTTTCCTACATTTGTCTAAACCAGTCCTTTGTTTATGGCTTGGTTGCTGTAGCTGGAAAAATGATTTAGGTTCAGTCATTTATTCCTGCATGACCTGAGCACTTCTTGCAGACCATGGTGCATCTTGTGCACTGGTTGTAGTTTGGAATGTTTAGGACTTATGGTAAAATAGTCTGAATTTTCTCTGCAGATTTTGGATAGAAAGAATGATGAAATAGATGTGCTGAAGTCCACCTACATAGAGAAACAAAAAGAAGCTGAGGAGACAATAAGAAAACTGGAGAAAAAAGGTGATTTTTATCCTCATGGTTGTCTTCTGTGTGGTGCTATTGTACTGCATTCTCTTGTGGCTGTGGGCTTGTGTGTTTCTTCTGCAGACATCCCTTTCTTCATCATTTTCAGCACTTGATTTAATTTTTTCCTTTAGATTCTGAGATTCTTGTCCAGTTGTCTCTGCTGTTCCAACCCAAGTGTTCCAAGAGGCCTGTGATCTATTACACTGAAAACAGGTTTTATGAGCGTCACCAAAAAAAGTTTCTTTGATGCCACTGAAATATTTTGGCCACTTCAATTTTTTTTTGAATCCCTGGCTCAAAGTTCATTTCTTTATACATTCAGTACATTTTAATCAAACCACAACGGGTTATTTTTAAGATTATTGCGGCAGGAGATTTCAAACATGAGTAGTCTTGAGTGTGTCACGAGTACAAAACTCACCCTGAGAGCGGCTTGTCAGCAGTTTCTCAGTGTTAGTTTCCTTCAGAATTCCTTGGAATCCATTTGCACCATGGACTAAACCACACTGGAAAATAATACAGGAGTTTGGTAATCTAGCTACAAAAAGGGAGAGTCTTCCATGTATTTTGTTTCCTTCTCCTTGGGAAAGTAATTTTTCCAACAAGGGATCTGGGGCTTCTCTCTGTGGGCTGGTGGTTTCTCTTGGCTGGAACAGGTTGAGTTGGAGTTGGCCACACTGTTGCAGGTAATGAAAATCCTCAAAATGAAGTGGAAGTGTGAATATGGACCTGCTTTTTCCACTAATGGTGATGCCATCACTTAAATTGGGGAACTTCATTTTCATGGGTATCTTGGGCATTCAACCTTCACAAGAACCTTTTCTCCTAAGGATGCTCATGAAATCAGGTTAAAATAACTATTTTCTTGAGGTTATGCAGAATTTTGCTGATGTATATTTACCCCTTCAGGAAGGAAAACTCTCTCTGAAATATTCTGTAAACAAAGTAGAAAAGAGAGCACACCTTGTAATGACACAGAATCTAAGTGCTACATCTTAAAGCAGCACATGCATTAAGAATTTAAGAGTCAAAAACCATCAGAAAGCCAGGTCAGTTGGAAAACTGACATAAACTGATTGTATCTATTGCCAAGACTGAAAAATCCCAAAGGTCTTGAGTGGTTGTTTATTTTTTTTCCCATTTTTAACAGTTCAGACCCTTGTTCGTGAGTCCCAAGTTGTGAGAGAAGCCAAAGAGCAGCAGATTGTGGAGCTGAAGAAGTTGTGTGAGCAAAGCAATGATTCCTTGAACAATGAGTGGGAGAAAAGGGTAATGAACAGTACTTCCCTCCTTTGACAGACTCCTGCAGTGTTTATCTGCAGGATAATATGTTTTGTCACTCAAAAAAATAAATATACAGAATACATTTTAGGGATGTTTTTTGAGCTGATTTTATTTTTTTCCTGAAGTAATCAAGACTCTTTTTGCTGATGCTTTTACACCCAGCTGGTCACCCTGTTCCTGGGGTTCATCTGGCCTCCTGGCAAGTCTCTGGATGTATTAAGGAAGTGTTTATTTCTGGTTGACCTGACATGGAATTTTAATCTGGATAAACCTGCTGCTACCTGCTGTCACGGTGATTCCTTTGAACTTATAGTCTTGCAATGGGTCATGAATTCTTCAATGTATTTTTATTTATTGTTCAACTCAAGACAGCAGCAAAGCAGAGGGAAGAGCAGGTTTATTGTGAGACAGTGTCACCTTTGTCCAGATTATTGTCAGTATTTGTCTTGCTTCCCCCTCTCAGCAGAGTGGGGGGGGTCACAGAAAGGACAAACCCACCCCCCTTCATGAAGTTTGCTGTTCAATTTAATTATTTTGCATCCCTGCATGTAGAAATGAAGTTGGGTTTAATTCTTGCCTTCTTAAAGGCAAATTGTCCTTTGTGCTGAAGATCTTGAGGCTCCAGTGTTAGGTGTTTTTTTCATAGAATCCCAGACCAGTTTGGGTTGGAAGGGACCTTAACCTCATCCAGTGCCACCCCTGCCATGGGCAGAGACACCTTCCACTGTCCCAGGCTGCTCCAAGCCCCGTCCAAACTGGCCTTGGACACTTCCAGGGATCCAGGGGCAGCCACAATCTTTTTTTGTTTTAGAGAAAAAATATTTTCAGAGAGGACAGAAGTGTGAATACCTGGGATTTCCAGTGATTCTGCTGGTGTGCTATAATAATGTAACACTTCTCAATGCCAGTTGTAGATGCCATTTGTCACTCTGTGCCTTTTTTCCTGGTGCAGCTCCTGGATGCCGTGGCTGAGATGGAGAAGGAGAAGTTCAGCATCCGGAAGAAGCACACGGAAGATATGCAGGAGCTGCTGGAGGAAACCAACGCCCGGCTGGCCAAGATGGAGCAGGAGTATTTGCAGCAGACACAGTCAACTGTAGGTTTGGCTGTAAACCTGTCACAGCAGCAGGTGTCTCTTAAAATACTCCAATTCTGTGTGTGTTCAGGTGGGCTGGGAGTGCCCAAGGCTGGGTTGGATGGGGCTTGGAGCAACCTGGGATGCTGGAAGGTGTCCCTGCCTTGTCACAGCTGGAATCAGATGATTTTGGGCTGGAATCAGATGATTTTGAGCTGGAATCAGATGATTTTTAAGGTCCCTCTCAACCCAAACCACTCTGTGATTCTGTTATTTATGCACATACATCCTTATTTTTGATAGTGCAGTGCAGTTGTTCTAGGAGAAGACACTGTCCTGGAAGCCAGTGCAATCAAGGATTTTATTCCCCAGATAAAATTAAGCAAGGTACAGCCCTTCAATCAATGTTACACTGATATTTTAGAATCAGTCCTTAATTCAATTTAGCAGAATTTTTGTCTTTTCAGGTTTGTAGACCATTTATATATTACATCTATTTTCATAGAAACATGATTTTTTACTCACCCACCTCCTCTTTGACTAAGCAAATGCTCCTGTTAGATGAAAGATGACATTAAAAGGATTTTAAAATAAGTATTGATTATTCTAATTTATTGCATTTGTTGTCTAGAGTAATTATAAACGCGTAATTAGGTATAATCTGGATTTTGTGCCTGTTATATAAATGATGCAAAAAGCAAAAGAATTAACAAGTAACCTCAAAAAAGCATGCTGTACTTTTCATCAGGATGAGGTATGAGGAAAATTGAATGAGTGAAAAGACAATGTCAAACAAAATTTATTCCTTTATTAATGAATGTTGAATTTAAAAATTAACATTCAGATCATGTCATAGGTAACAGTAAATACAGAGAGAAATGGACACAGTCTGTCAGCAGGATTGAATTTAAGAACCATCAAAACTAGACAGATCTTGCTGAGCAGCTTCTGATTTAATAATTAAACAAGGTAGAGTTCAAGGCAGGGCTTAAGATGAAAGACTAGACTGTCACTGGAAATTAGTTTTCTTTTTTTCTCTCTCCTTTCTCTCTCCTGATTTTTTTATTTTTTTCTGTTGATATTTCAGAGTTTCCTTGTTCAGAGTTTCATGTTGTCAGGAATGCCAGTGCTGTTAGCAAGTGGAATTGGCTGAACAATTTCATCAATGCCATAGAGCTGATAAGGAGGGGTTTGTGCCCAGAACAAGGATGAGCTTCCTTAAGGGTCATGGGGCCAGCCAGGAATTATATTCAGTGATATATTAAAAATTACCCTGTTTTAAAAAAATGGCAAAACCCCAGAAAACCACAAAACAAATCAAAACCCCAAGCCCCCAAAGCAAGCAACCCTCTGTCCCCAGCAAACCAAACCCATGGTGAGCAGCTTGGCACTGATGGAGAATTTTGCCGTGCTGTGGCTGTGCAATCTCTGCAGGCATTGCCAGAGCTCAGGTGAACATTCAGGTGATGCTCTGTCTGTGTGGGGTTCTTGCACTGGCTCAGGTTTGTGTCACCTCCAGTGACAGTCAGGGCAGTGGCTGCACAGGGCACTTTTATTGTACTTTGAGAGTGGGTGAAATTTCTGTTCCACTTCCCTCACCTTCAAGCCTTTGTTAATTAAAAAATAACTTTGAAACCTACTCTGGGTCTTATTTTCCAACCCCAGCCTCCAGAGGAATTCTTGCCTCATTTCTCTGCCTATTACCATAAATTTAGGGAAGAATGGGAAGTCCTAGAGTACCTGCCTGTCCTTACTCTGCTCATTTTAAAATTTGTCTATATTAGGAGATGAAGTTCCAGGGAAAAGATACAACTCTTGAAAGGTGCTTGTAGTTTACTGAAAGTTACTGCAGTGAGATTACTGGAAAATCTAAAAATGCTTTATGTATATTATCATCCATTGCAGTTTTCCATTGAAATACTGTCTTCTGTCCCATTTTAAAGGATTTGTAATTTAGAAATCAGTTGCATATGCTGTTCTGCATAAGGGAGAATAGATGTCACTTTGAGGGGGAATAAACACCCATATTTTTAAGATTTATTTATTTTTATACGCACTATAGAATTTACTGTCATGACTGATGACAGCTTTGCCATTGTAACTCTTGTGTCTCTGCATCACCAGAGAACCTCCTTGCTCAAGGCTACTGAATAACAGCTGGGGTATTCCCTCATTTATTCTGGGCTTTTCTCAGTAATTCTCTGTTCTTTTAGAATGAGACAGTGGAAAAGCTGGGGGCCCGTGTGCAGCAGTTGACTGTTGAGGCTGAAAATAGTAATTTACAGCGTCAGAAATTATCTCAGGAGAAGACTGAGGTAGAACAGCGTTACCAGGAGGTCTGCTCCCAACTTCAGGACCTGAAAGCAAGGTAATTCAGTAACAATTGCTGGTTTAACTTCTAAGAATATGGAATTTCCAGAAGCAAACATTATGGCTTTTGTTTCAGTAACACACTGAATGGCATTTGACATTAGAAAACTCTCATGAAAATGTATTTATTGGTGTCAAACTCGTTTAGAGTGACCCAAACAACCACCTTGAGGAGTGTCCATTATTTCCATTATTTATGAGCAGCTCATTCTGTGACAAAAGCATGTGGAATTGATACTGAGCAGGTAAAATGCCAAAATATGAAAGCAATTTCCATATCCTGTTTGCTTGCTCCTTGTAGGTACGACTTACTTCAGAAAGACAAGGACCAGATTACTCAGGAGTACAAGGAGAAAGTTCAGCAGCTACAAAGTAAATTTGAAGTTGATAGAGATTTTCTGAAGAAGGAACAAGCTCAGGTATGCTCAGGTGTAACAGACAGGAAAATGGGGTTTATTTCCTAAGTGCTCTCCTCACTATCAATATGATGCTTATGAATAAATCCAAAGGATTGCTCAGTTCCCCAAGTTAGTCATGAGTGTAAGTTTAAATAAAATTGGGATTTAATTTTTCATTCCCAAATTTGACTGAAAAATCATCTGAAGTTGGTTGGTTGTTCTGGTGTGTATTTCTACAGCTGATCCAGATTCAGATCCTGATTTTGTTTGTGCTCCTGTAAAAATTCTAAATACACTCTTAAAGACTTAATGTTTTCATAAAGCCTCTTCCATGGCAGAAAATACTTCTTCCAGAAAAAAAAACAGTCCTGCAGGCTTCATAGTATTGAACATTGTGTTAAATATTTATGTGTTTAAGGAAATACTTTTATATTTTGTGAGTGTAAATTTCACCCAAAATGTAATAACTCTGGTTTGTTTCTGGAAGAACATCTGTCAGGTTGATGCCTGCTGATGTGCATAGGTGCAGAGATGGTACATATTTAACGTGATTTTAAAGTTAAATAATTGTAGAAAAGACTCAAGTTTTAAATACCATTTATTAATCCATAGAGCCATAGGACAAGTGAGGTGTTTGGTGTTTATTTGTTGAAATTCTCTAAGCTTTGATGATACCTTACTCTGTTTCTTTTACAAAGTATTCTACTTTCTACCAATTTTTTGTAGCTTTCAGTAGGGATTTTTTATTAATGGGGTGTTTTTTTTGTGCTTTTGTTTCCATTTCTAAGCTCTCCAGAGGGCCTGAACTGATGTATCCAGAGCCATAAACTCATACAGGTTTTTTCTCCCAAGCTGATAATCTTTCCAATTTTTTGGAAACTGTAGTGGTTTAGATTCACTAATTTGAGAGATTAAATAAAAGAGGTTTATTTCTCTTTTATTAGAGGAATAAATTTAAAGATGCAAAAGAGCTAATGAGGAGTGCAAGACAAAAATTGCTTTTTCTGTTAAATCCCAGCAGACATCTGATGTGATTGCAGAATTACAGCGTGGAATGGCTCTGTTGAAACAACAATTGCAAGACTGTGAACATCAAAGGCAGCAAGAGCTGAGGGTGAGCCCTGACTTTCTTTCTCAGAAATGACCAACTCTTTTTGTTTTATCCACTGATTTAAATGTTTAGATATCCATCCTTAAATGCACTTCTATATACCATGCTTGCTTGTTTCTGTTTTATTAATGGAAATAAATGAAATGTCACAAATGGTTAAAGGTTGATTTAAAAAGTGTGGCCAAAAGAGAGGTAAAAGCAGAATTTTCACAGAAGTTTTCTGACTGTTTCTTGTAGATCACATGTTAAGTTAAAGAGTTTAAACCTGTATTGGTGGATTACAAAGAAGCCTGTCAAAGAATGATGAATATCTTTTATTTTCCTGTAAACTGTAAACATTTTTAAAGTTTCAAAATTGTTTTTAATTTCCACTGTTTAATAGTTCAGTTCAATATTCTGTCTTCCTGTAGGCATGTAAATTAATCCTTCTATCTCAGGGTAATGAGTTCCACATCTGTATCATGTATCAGTCCTGGCTGAGTTTTGGCATCTACTTTTCTTCCAGTGTCTTTCATTTCACAGTTGATATAGTACAGTATGGCATTTTAATAGCTCAGGAGAACAAGTTGCTGTTTCTCTTTAGCAAACATGAATCATGACTTTTGAGATAGTTGTGTTACTTGGTGTTGGTTAAATTTTTTTCCATGTCAGAGAATTTTTTCATGATGATAGAAAGCGGGTTTTTATTTTTTTTTAATGGACTGTTCTATATGATAGCTACTGGCTGTGTTTGATGAATGCTCTGAAATGGAAGAAGAATGGGATTTGTTTATTTAGACATTTATTTGTTTATTTTCCTCTGCAGGATCAAGAATACAAGGTTCAGCAGGACAAGCTTCAATTGCAGCGTGCATATGAGAAACAGGTAATATTTCCAGGAAAATTTCCCATCTTCTGCACCCCTCCACTTTTGTTCTGTAGAGGACTTAAAGGCTTAAATTTTGAAACCCCCCAAACAGTAAATTTGGGAATACAAGCACTTGACAAGGTTTGGGAAAATATTTGGACAAAATGAAGGAAGATTTTAAGCACAGCTGTTTTGGGCCAGGGGTATCACCTCTGATTTTTAGGATATCACCTCTGTTGCCAAGGGATGGAGGCTGGGATGGCATTCCCAAAAAAGTGCTCCTGGGAGCCTGTCCTGTGGTGGCAGCTGCTGTTACTGAAAGGATAATGAACTGAATGAAACCTGGCCTGACCTCTGCCAGTGCTCATGTGTTCTCCCATACTCCTTTTCCCCCAGAATATCTCTATTCCATCCCTCTCCATGTGTTCTCTAGATATTGTCAACAGGCATTGTTTTTACATCAGGAACTTAAAGTAAAAAATGTAATTTTCATCAGAAACACTTCATCTTAAAGCACTTTGCAAATCCTGCCTGCTCTTTTAGACTCGGAACATCAATAGGCTTCAAATTAAACTTCAATTTTAGTGACATTATATGTGCAACTCATGTGCAGCCAGAGGGTGCCTTAGATGCCTGTTTAATTGAAAGGATGTGTTACTCAAACATGTCATTGCCAAATGTGGCAAATTTATAACATAAAATAATGGATTGTGATCCCAGCTACTTGTCACTTGGTAATAGCACTTGTGACATGAATTGTAGAGGGGTTTTGGTTTGAGTTAGTTCCTTCTGCTGACTTGAAGTCAAAACATTCTTTGTTCCAGGATCTGCCTTGGTTTAAACCTAGCCTCCATTTCTCTTTTTAGTCAAGTTGTGTGTTTTATACATGTTGAACTCAAGAAAAATCCAGGATTGGAGTGGTTTGCAGGCCAAAATAAAAAATATATTGGCATAATTTGACTGAGGTTTGAGGATCTTTTGGGAGGAAGCTCCTAAGCATGGGCTGAGAGCGTGTCAGGAGTGCCTCCAACCAGTGAGCCCAGGGAGGGAAGCTGGAATCCTGCATCAGTAAACAAGGAAGCAGAGCCTTTCTTTTTTAGATAACTTGACATCAGTTTGTTCATAAATTCTGCTGTAACTGTTTTCAAACTCAAATCTTTGTGAAAGGATGAGAAGAAAAATACCCTTGAATGATCTATGGGTATAAATCCATAAACCAGGATGGATTGGCCCATAAAATACTAAAACAAGTAGAGGAATCATGAAGTCTCTGCTGCAGTCTGTTCACTTAAAAACCTACCCATTATCTAATAATCTTTATGAGTCTGCAGTGGCTGCTGCCTCTGAGGATACTTTAACATCAAACAAATCATAGGTAGGAACCTTAAATGTCACTGTTTGATTAAAAGTGCTTATCTGCTGGATCAGGAACCAGTTAGGCTAAATGGCTTTACAAGCCAAGGAAACACCTGCTTTTTATAAATAATCTACTGCTTGTTTTCCAAACATCCAGCTCAGCATCAGAAGAGTGACAGATTATTCCTGACAGCCATTCTCAAGCCACCTGTTGAAAATACAGAATTTTACCAGTTTTGGCAATAGCTTCTTTATTCTCTGATAGATGTAGCTCATGGATTTGGGGGCTCTTGGAACCCAGCTAAATGTTCCTGGAGTGAACACCCCCATGGAACTGCTCCTTGCAGAGAATCTCTGAATTTATTTTTTTTTCACTGGCCTACACACTTAGTAAATCAACTTCTTCTTCATTGTAGTGTCTTAACAGCCTGGAACATTACAAGTGACTGTAGGTGGATAAAGGATTTCCTGTATGTTCCATCCCCACGTTGTTCCTTGAGCAATTCTAAAGCAATACAACTCTTGGATTATGTACAAACACTTGGACTTAACCTGCCCTTGCCAAAAAACATTACAAAAATGCATGGTTTGGACCACACCTGGGAAGTTGCCAAATTCAAATGTTTTTGTAACTATTTTTAGGGTACTTATTGCCAATTATGCTATTATTCTTATTCTTTAGGATTTTTATGTGAGCTATTTATGTTTGATACTTTTTATTGTAAGAATTGATCAGAAATTATTCACTTTGGGTGATCACAAATTGGTGAGTAGGAGCTCTGCACCCTGGAGAATACAGGTCACTATTTTAGGCAGATTCCTATCTGCTTCTCTGTACTTACCCAAAGAAAATCTAGTTCCTTTTTTATGTGGTTACTGATATTTCTTTATTCTAGACAGTAATATTCACTTTGAGAAGGAAAATAGCTCATTGGCTACATTCTCATACTTCATCTCTCTATTAATCCCTGCTTTTGTATTTCTCCTAATTTTAGAAATCCATGGATGGTTGTCTTCACCAGTGGAAAAAGAATATGCAAATAAATAGGTTTTTGAATTTAAAATAACATTGATTTATTTTAATTCAGACATCGTTTGGGCTAAAAGATAGGGTGTTTTTTTTCCTTAAATGGCAGATTCATGGCATTCAGAATGATCTGGATAAAGAAAGAGGGGATGCTCAAAAGAAAATTCGTCACCTGGAACAGGCTCTGAAGTAAGTGAATATGGAGTAATTGTTGAACTAGCCCTGGAATTTTTAAATATTTATTAGTATTTATTTATTAAATAAACTTATGCTTTATCTTATCTAACTGCCCTCCTATAGTTTTTTGCCTGTTTTAAATCTGCACCCTTCAGGGTTCTGATCAGCCAGAAAAATGAAACAACTAAAGTAGGAACCAACTTATCCAAATTTGTTGACTTTTAAGTGGTGGGAAGGAAATAGAATTGAGGTTAATGATGTCAGCTGGTCTTGCACTCTCAAATAAATGGGCCCAGGTTCAATTCAGAGTGTATTCATAGGAAGCAAATAATCAAACAAAAAGCAAAAAATAATTGTTGCTTTGGGCTCTTCTAGAAAACAGAATACATTTGAAAGATGTATTTATTTAAAATATATTTTAATTTAATAGATGGTGCTTCTGATCTTATATTTTATGTTTAATATCCACAAATTACAAGTCTAATGCAGATTTTTCCTCTTTGATACAACACTTCTTTGTGGGAGTACTTGTTCTTCACATGGATGTAAGGCTGGGAGAAGTGCTCTGCAAACAAACAGCTTTCATTAACTAACTTGGAACAGGTTTTTTTGCTGATTTTGTCCATGAACAGCTCATCAGGATGCACCAAGTTTGATGTTTTCTGAGCAAGGGAATGGTTTATGTACAGCAGATGCACAGAGGACAAGATCAGCTCTTGCTATGCTCCTTCCATTTTTGATTTTGTGAAGTATTCTTGCCATGTGTTAATCCAGTTTAAAGTCAAAGCTATGGAAAGTAATTTCTAGGGGAAACAGATTATTCTGAAACAAACCAGAAGTTATTTGCTAAAAGTATTCAGTTTAATATCACAATGTACCTTATCTAGGCTGGGAGAGGGAAGTAAAGATACTTTTATTCCATAAAAGTGACAGGGCTGAAGTCTGTATTTCTTTATTTCTATAATCTCTGAGGTATTTGGCATAAATAGAGACTATCTTAAATCACTGCAGACATTAATAAAAACTCCAGCTTTTAATCTTTAAATTCTTTACACTGACTATTATTTATAATTTTGGGGTGGTTGAACCGTTATCAACTGCACTTTATCTTTTAGTATTTTACCATTAGATTTGTTGATAATGAAGTTGCATTAATTTTCTTCCACATCTTTCAAATAATGTGTCAGTTTGGTCTTACTGATGTTAATAAAACCAGTCTGGCTTTGCAGCCCTGGCTGCTCAGGGTTGATCCCCACGTGAATCCTGGCAGGATGGGGATTTGGGACTCGAGGAGCTCTTGCAGGAGCTGAGGATGTCCTCAGTTATTTCAGATATTCCTTGGCTGTATTTAAGCTTAGGTGTAGTTTGGAGTTGGAGTAAGAATTTGAAAGACTCAAGTTTTAAGAGCCCAAAGTGCTGGTGATGCTCCAAGGGCCATGAATTAAAACAATGTTGGCAGAGCTCAGTCCCAGCCTTGCATTTCCTGTGGGTCAATCCCTTGGCCAGAGCTGGGGATGGGTCAGCTCCTGGGGCTGAAAAGCCCTGGGGACTGTTCCACAGGCTGAAAATCATCTGCTGTTTCCCCCACAGCAAGTGATTAATACCTATTCCTATATGATTTTCAAAGTGTCTCCTAATACAAACTGCTTCTACTCCTGTAGGTCCCCTCTAAATGAGAATATTCTATGATACTGTATTTTTTTCCAGGGTATTTTTCCATGTTCTATGGCACTTTGTTTCTCTTATGCTTTTTAATTTAATTTAATTTTCTTAATTCAGGGTGTTGAAAATAATGTAGAGAATTCTAATATTAAATCATGTATACCTCTCCCAGTTGAAATGGAAAATACTTAATTGTGGAGATAGTTTAATAAAACTCTATACTACTGCTCTTTTGATTGTTTTATAGCAGGGGTTTGGGGTTAATTTCAAGATTAATAATGGAATTAGTAATGCTAAGAAGTAATTGAATAGAAATAAAAATTAGCTTTCAAGTGTGGTTTTATAAACCGGTTTTTATAAACTGGCTGGAGACAGAAGGCAGAACTATGAGGATGCATTTAGGATCCTGAAAATATGATATTTGCAGAAATGCAGTGCCCTAGTCCAGCCCAGCTCATATTCTGCTGGTTGGGATTTCAGCTCTGGGTCTGACATCTGCATTTCTGACCAGGGGTGGAACAGACTTCAGGTGCCCAGGACAGAGGAACTGCCAGTCCTGCAGGGCTTTCTGCAATTCAAGCCATTCATTTTAGCACCAGGGTGTCTTGGCAATACTAAGATGTTTTTTCATATTTGTGCTTTTATATGATATACAAGTAGGTAATGGGAAAAGACAGTATTTATTGTGGCAGAAATGGATGGCTTCCTTATGGCTTTTTCTTTTCCATTGCTGCAAAAATTATTCTTTTTAGCAATCCCTTCCTATTAATATGAATCCACAAGATCCCCTATCTTACCTAAAAATGCTTCATTTTGCTGAATTTCTTTAACTACTTGCAGAATGAAATTAAGTAACTGCAAGCTAAGGCAGACCCAGTAAATCTTTAGAAAACAACCTCGTCTTGCATGAGGTGGGTGAAAATACAGTTCAGCATCTTCAACAGAAGTGATGCCTTGTGGAATTACAGCTCAGAACCCAGTAGGTGCATCAGTGATTTCTCATAAACTACTTTGATCTGAATGCACTTTGATTCTGAAATGGCCACAGGATTATATCTTGAGCAGCTGCTGAGCTGCAGGCACATGGAAAGGGAAATGGCAGGCATTTGGGGGGATTTTTGTTATTATTATCACTATTTTTCCAGTGCTGTGACAGCAAACAGTGCTGCTGCTGTTTCAAACGTATCCACACCACTGCAGAATGAAAGGGATTTGAGACATTGTGTGGAATAGTAAAATCCACATTTCTGAAAGTATCTTTCACTTCCAAAAAAAAAAAATAGTATTGCCACAGTTTCTGTACAGAATAGGGGTTTACATAGTTTACAGAAGGTTTTTTTCTTCTGAAGTTCATGGTAGAAATATCTGTCAAAAGCAAAGCTTTTGCAAAAGAATTGCTCCAACACTCCTAACTCGTGGTGGTGACTTGTAGATATAAAATTTATATTTACTTTTGCAGTGCATGTCACAGGCATTGCCTAATAGCAAAAGTTACTCTAAGAAGTGCTGTAAGGGCTTTTCTGGAATGTCCTTTAAATGGCATTTCTATAAGAACAAAGTTTTTTTGAAAAGCTTCTCTGTAATTACTTGGGGGGAAAGGTTGTTTCTCTAGTCCCTGTGGTTTGGTTGCTGAAAATGTGTCATGAGAGTGGGTTGCAAATAGGCTGAATCTCTGCTGTTCTTATCTCTCACAGTGAGGAGTAGGAAATAGAGGTATATAATTTGTCACAGTACAAACTGAGTAGAATGAAACAGAAAATAAATGAGGGGAAAAAAAAAATCTGTACCCATTTGCTGCTGAAGAAATTGCATGGAAGAGAAAGAAAAGGTCTTGCTGACTTTATACAATATTGTTAAACAGCTCTCAGCATCATCTCTTGTGTCTTGTTCTGTGGAATTTGAATGTTTATTCATTCAATATATTTATTCTACCTCTGCTTCTATTTTGGTAGCAGATTGTTCAATACTTTTAGTTTACTATGAGGAATATATATTTGCTGTAGGGAAATAATCCTCATTTTATTGAAGATTACAACCACAATGCCAGCTCAGTTTTGAGATGTTTGGTTTTGACACTTGTTTGTGATGAAAGAATCCCAGAATGGTTTGGGTTGCAGGGACCTTAAAACCCATCCCATTCCATCCCAGGGACACCTTCCACTGTCCCAGGCTGCTCCAAGCCCTGTCCAGCCTGGCCTTGGGCACTTCCAGGGATGGGGATAACACCTTTGTGGCTGCACAGACACATAAAGTTGGTCCATCTTGAGACTGAGAGATTTTGGACTGAAGTATGAACATCCTGAATAGTTTGAGGCTGTGATCGTCTGTCACCCTCTTGGGAAGTGCAGACTACATTGATTTCTTCAGGATAAAGGTTGTGACAGTTCTTATGTGCTGGTGGTAATTATGGGATCTGATTTAATGCTTTTTGCTTTGCTTGCCTCTTACACAAATAATATTTTCATATGCTCCTGAAGTACACGTTTCCTGAATTCTTGTTCTTCAGTTCTGTAGTGTGGGAAGGAAACAAATTTTAAGAAGTCACATTAGGAGAAATTAAATGAAATTATATTAAATGATATTAAATTAAACTCCTGTACAGATGCAGATGCTGTAGTTAAGCACTGCAGCATCAAGAAGTGCCCACACATCTGCACTCCAGTGCTCCACAACGTTCTCCCTCTCACTCTTTGCCTTTCTTTTTTTCAAGTCTGTCTATGGAGCCAAATCTCAGCACTTTGCAAGTGGAGATGATACAGAGCAAATGTTGAGCAGCTGCTTCATTCTGACTCACTTAATAAAATTATTTGTTTACATAAGGAACTACCAACACCTCTTTTTTTCCATGGCTTCTCTACCCCTTGTCTGAACTTGTTTAAAATTCTGGGGAAGAAAGAGGGGCTAAACTTCTAAACTTTCTAGAAACCAGTTAAAACCACTTCTGTCTATTAGCAGAATTTCACAATAGTTTTCACAGTAGTTTTTAAGGCACACACAGTTCTCACAGTATTTTGGGGTTTGGTTTAGGTGGCAGACCAAATCCAGTCATGGTGTGATGTGAAGGTGGTGCCTGCAGATGTTCAGTAAAATGCAGGAATGAAAACAGTTTGCCTTTCTTTTCTCATACATACTTGTGTACCTGCACACGGTTTCTGACATGGGGGTCAAGGAGAAGAAGTTGATTTCTCCTTGAAAGTGGTGCCATGGAGTTTCCTCACTGCAGACTTAAAAAAGCTTTTCCCAGTGCTTTTCATTATTCCAGTGTGAGAGCAATGCTCTGTGCTTCCCCATGCTGGGCTGCTATTTCTAGGGATTTTGTCAGGTGTTCAGTGGTACTCGCTTATATTTTA